AAGGAAGATTATTTATGTAAAACATCCACAGGAAACCAGATATCAAACTAGATGAAAATATTTCTGCATCAAATTCAGAGTTTCCACTAAAAAAAAAGTGTAACACACCTTATGCTTTAACTAACAAGACAGCACCACTTACATCACAGCTTTGGGACAAATTCAACAGGCACATTCTGTGGGTTAAAAAAAAAATTAAATTTAAAAAGCTCTCCACAACATGAATTACAGGTGCAGACAGCTTCAGCTGTGCCAAAGAGTGTCTTTGAGCTATTTAGGATTAAAGCTTATGCTGCTCTATCTGACAGTGCAGAATGACAACATCAACAGAGAATTGCTGGGAAAGAACATCTGAGAAGAATCTCTTTCTTTTTTTTTATGAGGTGTTTGTATGTAAATTGGCTTTTGAAGAGTTGCTTCTGTCAACTTCTACACTCCTGGGATGTGGATTCTGCCACCTGACTCCAAGTAGGGACATTAGGGTTAATGAATTAAGCTTTTAATTAAGCTTTCTTACACGTACCTCCCAGGTTACACCATCCAATTTCCCTCTTCTTCTTCACCCAGAAAAACAGAGCAAAAACAATAAGGCAAATCAATTTGGTCCTGTCATTAACTTTGTGGCAACAAGCCTTTGGAAAGAGTTATTTGTTATTACATCCTCTCCTGTGAGCTTCTTAATATTGCTGGAGCCACAGGATGGCAAGGAAAGGTATGAAGAAAACTTCTCCCATATAGTGAGTAGGACCAGTATAGTGGTGAGAGAAAAACCCACACGTGAAAGTCGATAATAGTGGGAAGAGAAGACACAGAATAGCCAGAAAACCTTATATTTATGTGCATGTTTCATGATTGCATTGAAGTTGGCATTCAGTTCTGCTATTTGCTTTTGCTATTTCCCTGTTCTGGTGGGGGTGGGAGGGAGATGATGCAATTAATGCAGTAGGAAAAGTTTCCACTGTCATGTTCTAAAGTTTCTAAATTCATGGAGGCAACTGGATCATGTTTTCCACCAAATCAAGTTTGTCATTTTTACCTAGTACCAAAATGGCTCATATTATTTATGTCTGTTATCACTGTGTTATCAGTGATCACATTTTAAAAGGTGCTAACATTTCACAATTGAAATTAAACAACAAATTAATTCCACATATTTTAATTTGATAACTTCATTTTGCCTCCTCTGATTTTCCTGACTGAACTATTCACTGTCCTATCTTGAGAGAATTAATCAATTCCCTCACTTCAGTTAAAAAGTAGATTAAAAAATTATCATTTCTAAAGGTTTACCTTACTTTTATTTTTTAATAAATATAGACTTTGTTAAAAAATTTCAACATCCACTCTATGCCTTAGCAATATTTCTGTTATTAAACTGGATTCCAGCTTTGTTGAAGTAACTGATTTAAGGCCTACAAATAATTTTCTTTGAATTAAAGGTAGTCATGAACTTTAAATAGACTTGAGGAGTATTTATAATACTTTGGAAGCCTTTGCTAGGGAAAGAAGGAATCTTTGCCCATCCCACTTGCCACCTCAGCCTCCAGAGCTGCAGCCTGGGAAAAATATTTAGGGAATGCGTATTTACTCCTGTTTGTCCAACAAGAGCTCCTGTTAGCACAACAAACTTTACCTTCTCTCACATGTTGTCTGTGCAACAGAGCCTATCCCTCCCTTCAGCATTTGTCCATCTGCATCAGATTAAAGGAAAATGATTGAACGTGATTATTTCTTACAAGGTTTTAATAAAATAGTAAAGAAATCCATGTAAATAGAAGCAGTAACAGCAGCAAGAGACGTCACTTTTGCATAACAGGATTAATGTCTGCCATCAGCACTTAAAGCAGATAATAAATTGGACCTGGGAGTTTCAAATATTATATTTGTGTGATATTTAATAACTATTTGCACTGGCAAGCAAGTCTCACTGCCTTTCTCCCTATTAGTAAGTATCCTACCCATTTTCCTGAAGTTAATGTATGGATAACTGATCTCTTATGCAAAGCTGGAATAGGGTTTAATGAACCTCCATTACTCAAGCTGCACATTTTCCTAAAGATGAAAAATGCCATGTACAATGTATTTTCCTGCATGTGAATAAGCCCATTAATACAGATTTCTGAACAGAGTGTTTCTACTCAGCAATTTTTTGCCCTTTGGGAGGGAGAAGGAAAAAAAGAAGGGAGCAGGCACTTCCCTTCACTCCCCCACATCATCTCCAGGAAGGAACTGGATCAGCTTTGTTAATACTTTGGATTCATAGCTGTTCTTAGCACATAGGCAACAATTGCCTTCTGACAAATGTTTATTAAACCTGAGCTGCCAGCCTTAAATATGTTTTACTGTATTTTCCCCCTACTTTGATGGGAAATGATAACAGAGAAAGTCATCAAAGCAGTACAAATACCAAGAATTGCTGTTAGTTTGACACCTTGTTTGCCTCTTAATAACTCCCCTCCCTGAAGAAGCCCATGTGAGGAATTAAATCTCTACATACTCACAAGACATACTAATCTCCAACCAGATTCTGAAATGCAAATTCTTTTTCCTCGGCAGCAATACATAAGCACCAGGAAAATTACCATTTAGATGCACAAAAAGCTGATTTGAAGCCTCAGTCAAGTATCTGAGACACAACTTTGAGTGCTGTTGCAGTTTTAGGAAAGAGAGTCCTCAAACTCTCTTTTTTTGTGCGTGTAAGAAAAAAGTATCAGAGCAGCATTCACTTTGTAAAGGATGCAAAAGGAAGTTTAAATTTCACCACAGTGTAAGTTCTCTGTAAATGCCTAATTACAATGACTTGTTAAATCCACTTCAGAGGAACAAGTGTTTTTGTTTCCAGCAATTAATTAGTTTTGGAAACTTAGACACCCAAACCAATTTTTTTATTTATTTCTAGTGTTACTTGAGAAACATTCTAGATTATCACACTTTTCTCTGTTTAAAAGTGTGTTAAGCAAGTCTACCTTTCCACTGTATTTCTTGGAATTCCCCATTAATTCTACCCTCTCCTACCTTTCCCTCTCAATTCCCACTTTTACCCTTCAAAATGGATCCACTGGGTTTTGGATTCTCTGTGGAACTCAGGATGAGTTTTCATCAAAGCCTTGCTTTACTCACAGTGTGCCAGGAGAACTCTGTTGCTTTCCCTCTCACTGCTCAGACAATTAAAAAATATCAATGCCAGAATCAAGAACAATTGCAGACACATTTCATAAATAATTTATCAATAATAAGTCTGTACAAAACCTCATTTTTTTCTGATAAGCTTTCCTTCTCAGCTGTAGTCCTGAATCAAGTAAGGTGAATTTTTGAGAGCTTTACTGTTGCACTACATAAACCTTAAGGAAAAAAAAAAATAAACCACTTTTCCTCCAAACATCTCACACACTTACTATGACTTCCCAAAAGCAGAGCATGATCCATTCATCCCCAACAGTTCACAGGTTAAAAATACTTGAGCACCACTGAGATGAGGTTCAAGCCCTCGGTTTGAATTTGGCTGTTGGTCTCCTGCTTTCAAAACGACCTCTGTAACCACTATTTCAGATGACATTATTCTCTCCCAAGAATGGACCTGAATTTTCTTGGTAAAAGGACAACAAAAAATCCAAATGCTTTAGAATCAATAGCTCCCTTCCTCCAAAAAGAAAAAGACAGGAAGGTTTTGATGGAAATGACATTTTCTAATGAAAAAAATCTGTTGTTAGAAAGTAGCAGGAGGTTTTCAAGGGGAATTGTTTGGTACCTCTGAGGCAACACACTGCAGCCACAGCTTCTACTTGTGCAGAAACAACCCTATCTATTAACACTGAAACACAGGGACAAGGATGGGAATTTTACAGAATAATGATCCCTTGAAGAATCTTGCAAAAAGTTAACTCTGCTGTTACTTATTTCATAGTACAGGCTACCAGCTCTTGACAACTTTATTATTATTAGACTCTCCAGTCAATCACTTTGTGTCCAACAGCGCAAAGCTTTGGGAACTTCCCCTCCCACCATTTCACCAAACCTTCCCTCTCCGGCCAACATTGCAACACCCAATCAAATCACAACTCAAGGGATTACAGATTTATGTGTTTTTCAAATATTTTTGGGGACATCTTGGGTATCCAAACTACTTCAGCAAACCTGAATGCCCTCCTCTCTCCCCAGGTTGTTCAACTGGCATAAAAACTACACATGATCCTCAGAACAAGAACTAAGATCACCTAATAAACCCAGCAGCTACCACATTTTCTTTTTTTTTTCTTTGAATATTGTGCCGCCATTGCTTTGCACATTTCAGAATTCTTCTCCTACAATAAAGATGCTTTTCTTGAAAACAAAAAAAAAACCCCAAGCTGTAATTGGACAATCAGGGGAGAACCATAAGGATTCCAGTATGCCACCAAAATTTTCCCAAGAAGACACCAACAGCTAACTGAAGTTCTGTGTTTTAAAAATCATCCTATCTACAAGGATGTCCTGGATGTCCAAGGTACATGTATGTGAGAGAAGAACCTGCTTAAAAATTATGAATTCTCAGCAGAAACTGCAAATAAATTACCTAATTTCTAAATGCCTCATTTCTAGCAGTTTCAGGCCTACTTAGGTTGTAAAGATATGTTCAGAACAACAAATGACAACATTTTATTTTGGTTTCCTTGTCAGCCAGAACAGATAAAAGGTTTGATCTTGTGAAGAATCCAACAACTTAAGTGGTCCTTGACTGTAGAAGCAGCTGGCACTGCTTCTCTGAAAGGCTGATCTCTCTCACCACTCATGAAACAAAACAGTGACACTCATTAATTCACTACACACTATTATTGCAGACCCATCCCATATGAACAAAGTAAGCTGTTATAAAACCCAATTTTGATGTAGAATGATATCCGAAAAAGCTCTGTTTAATAACCTGTTTCCCTCTTTCCCTCCAAAATCTAAACCAAGAGTAACAATTAAATAAAACCCAGGAAGGTTTTGTAAATATTGTGACCAAAAAGAAAAATTCTTACCTTGAAGCATCAAAGCTGTCATAGGATCCAACTGTGTAGTGTCTAAACAGCTTCTTTGTTCTATCTGTTCGTGTTTCTGCACAAAGAAAAGAGAATTTTAATACTCCAGCATTTCTTTATCAAGTGCTGAAGTATTTGTTTATATTCCCTTGCAGTGAATTAATGTGGTTTCAAGGCATTTTGAAAAAAATTTTGACTTTGGAGATGTTTTTTTATCATATCACACACATCAAGTGAATAAGGAGAACTTCTTGTAGGTCATTTATCATGTCATTCAAAAGTTTTAAAGTTCCACTCATATTCTCAGAAGCAAAACATTTTAGGACCAATATTTGGTTCTTTTATAGTTTCGGCTAAGAGACAAAGTATAAGAAGAAAAGGCAGGGCAGGGCAAGGGCAAGAAAGGAAAGGGGAAGGTTTGGGAAGGGAAAGGAAGGTTTGGGAAGGGAAGGTTTGAGAAGGGAAGGTAAGGTTTGGGAAGGGAAGGTTTGGGAAGGGAAGGTTTGGGAAGGGAAGGTTTGGGAAGGGAAGGGAAGGTTTGGGAAGGGAAGGTTTGGGAAGGTTTGAGAAGGGAAGTGTAGCAGTGAATCTGCCTTGTATGAGAAGCTGTGGTTTAAATATGTTTCAAGATAGCTTTTTGTGTTTCTGCAAAGTCACTGCTTCTTCTTCCCAGGATCCCCCAGGACAACATTCCCTTCAGGAATGTCCTGAGAAGATATCAAGAAGTCTTCTCATTGGACCTTGTTAACCCTTTCCTATTGGTTGTTAACCCCTTCCTGCCATTGGGTGTCCTGTAAGCCCCCTGACCCTGTAATTGGTCACTGTGAATCCTCCTCGGACCTATATATGTAACCACCCCAACAATAAAGCTCTCTCTGGCCTCCTCTCCAAGTCCCGTGTGCTGTCTGTGGCTGCCATGGGACCACGTGGTGGGGGGAGGGGGAGCACCTAACCCCTCCATGCTTCCAGGACCTGAAGAAACCCCTGGAGCTGGAGTAACCCCTTCCCTATCCACCTCAGTCGTCGGAAATGGTTCCTCAGATGGAAATGGAACTAGGACTGGTGTGCCCCACACCATGTGGGGAAAGAGATCCAGAGGGAAGGGAAGGGGAAGGGGGAGGGGAAGGAAAGGGAAAGGGAAAGGGAAAGGGAAAGGGAAAGGGAAAGGGAAAGGGAAGGGAAGGGAAAAAATTTTGGAAAAGTTGGAAAAGTAGCCAAAATAGGAAAATCAATATTTTTTGCCTAAGCACAGGTTGGTCCTCCAATGCAATCACATTAACTTTGGCTAAGAGACATCAAAAATCACATGGAAAAGTCACTGATTTAGCTTGTGACCTGAAATTCTCATCTGCACAGCTGAGGAACTTTCCATGGAAGGACAGCCTGAGTCCACCCAAACAGATTTTATTAGCTCTCCAAGGCAGACAGAGCCCTCAAGGTGCACCATCTCTCTGTCACAGCTTTTAAGGATGTTACAAATTACTGTGAGAGGTAGTGCTGCCAGATGACCAAGTCTGCAGAGGGAAAAAGTACATCAGGGCAGGGTAATAGGCTTTAAACACAGCCAAGGAGCATTTTGCAGAAGCAAGAACTGGGAGGCAGATTTGGGGCGGACAAAATGCATCTTTCTTTGCTTTAACCAGTGCAGCTGACACATAACTGGATCGTGCCCCCAGAAGGACTTAAATACAATATATTCATAACACAGAGAAATTATAGCTGAAAAAGTTGCAGATGCCTAAAAGTGTAAGCAAGTTATTTCTTCACAAGAGTACAAGTAAAGAAGTGCTAAGAAAAAGCAGAAATATTTACATTTATATGAGTTTCATGGAGACCAGCCAGCCTCTTTCCTACAGGGTGGCAAAAGAAGGAGAAAATTCCTATTATAGTATGAATCCTACTTGATAGTTTTGTACAGACTTATTTTGTCCTTTTCTCACTCACCTACAACCAATAATTTCTGCCAAAGAGTCCTTTTCTTTACCTGAGGTTCCAGCTCCTGCTGCTCTTATTCCCTGTCTTTCTGGGACACCCAAAAGGACACAACTTGCTCCAGGACTCCCCAGGTATGTCCCTAGACACAACCGAAGCTCAGTCAGCCTGGAGCTGCAGGGCTGGAGGACACCCCCCTGCTTTTCGTGGAACAAGAGCTGTAAGTGCATGAGCAGCAATGGTACCCAAGGCTACAGGGTGGATGCTCACAGAGATTTGGCTTTGAAGCTTTGTAACTCCTAATGTGCTGTGAGGGGTTCAGGAAATCTTACAGGTCATGCCTCTGTTGTTAAGTTTACAAGTTTAGCTTCAAAATCCAATGCCCTGCAGTGACATGGAATAAAGTGATCTGAAGGAATTGCAGTCTACTAAGCAACATTCTCTCTCATACTACTCTAAAAATCAGATTAATAGCAAGAGACATAACCGAAGAAATGCAGAAAAATATAAACCTGAATTCCACTTAGAGTGTTCCCCTGGCTTGTTTTCAGAAGTCCCTTATAAATGATTAAAAGAAATTAAGTATGATGAATATTTTGTAAATCTTCAAGCCACTGCTTGAGCCTTAAGGAGCCAGATGTTTCCCCTGTAGAAACTGGTTTCTATAGCACGATATTCCAGTGCTATTAAGGAATACAAAGTGGGTGGGAGGAGTGGAAAGATAGCTTTGTTCAGCTCCTCAGTATTGCAGAGCCACCATCCTTCAGCTGCAGCTTGTATCTGCTCCCCATTTCCCATCCCTTTACCTTCCCCCACTTCTTTGTGTGCAATCATATTCACTGGGATCATCTGGGAAACCATTAGCCTTCCAAACTCCTGAATTGCAGGCTAAGTGGTATGTTTCCCAGGTTGCTCTCTACTTACTGTCTTTCCCTAACCTCTGACTCAGATTTCAGGCTGTCCTATTACACACCATAAGTACTGACAGCCAAAAGCTGGGGGAAGGACCAGGAATCTGCCATCATAATGAACAGGATACTGAAAAACTAGAAAGATTCCAGCCTCTAACTTGACAAAAGAATACCAAGAACCTACAGGCAACTGCCTAATAACTGCTTTTCTGATTTCAAGACATATATAGCATAATAACACTATTTAGGTATATGAGCATCAAAGGGTTAGTTCCAGCTTTCACTGGACTTTTTGCCATTTTTATGTCTCAGGTTTTCTGAAGGCCAGCACTCTGAGAACTTCACAACAAATTAGGACCATCCAAGACTAATAACGCTACCATCATTTGAGAAGTCTTTACCTGCAGAATCCTTTGAGGATTTCTTTTTAAACTTGGTTAAGACCAGCAAGAAGATACGAACAGGAAGATCTAGAAAACCATTATTAAGCAGTGTATTACTGCATTCCTACTGAGAAGAACATCTGTCACCACAGATGAAAAGCTGTTGGATCAAATTGGATCAGTTCAAAAGTTTTTCTAGAATGGAGAGCACAATACCAGGGTTTGCAAAAATGGTGCAGTTTCCTCTACATTGACAGAAAGGATTAGTGTATCATTTGAAATTATTATTATTGTTGTATTATTTGAAATTTCTAGATTTCTTGAGAAGCCCATATTTTACCAGAGTCAACACCATTGGATCTTTTCCTAATATCTACATCTGGTTAGAAAACTTTGTCTCTACAGACCTTTAGCCATCTCTAGGTTTCAGCAATAGGAAGTGTCAGGGCAAAAGTTATAGCCAATGACCCAGTTCTCACAGTACTGCAATGCTGTATACAGAGTAAAAACCATGTATGTGAAATGCTCCTCAGTTTCTCCTAAAAGAAGAATGCAAAACACACAAAAACTCCAAACAAACAAACAAAAAACCCCAAAACAAAATCGGGGAAAAAAACCAAACAAGCAAACCAAAACCAACCCCAAGATGACACCAAACGAAACAAGCTAAGAGGTTTTATTCTCATCAGTTAATATGCCTTCAAGGAGCAATGTAAGTCCCGATATGATGAAAGCCATAAAAGAGTCTGCAAGGAACATGGCAATTTTTTCCTGGTCTGTTTTCCACTGAAGCCAATGGGGCTGCAGCAGAAATAAGCTGTGGGCACTGTGCAACAGTGGCAACACAAATAATAAAACTCCAGCTGTTCCTTTATTAGTATCATTTATTTTTGCAGACACTTCAGCAAGCAACAGGCTCAAACCCTGCCCTTGCAGAATGTAATTTAAAGGGTTCAAAGAAAAGTCAACATCGAGAAGGTGTAGTAGGAAAACACTTCCTCCTTTTCCACCCTAGAAGAAGTGAGGGCTTTCCTCGACCTACAAATACATATAGGACTTCCTGCAGCTTCACTGTGTTAGTCTCAAAACTGACCACAGGACTCCAACAGTGCTTGCAGACATCAAAAGCTGCAAAAATCACTGACATGGAAAGCAAGAAATAAAATTTGGACTCTAATCCACACAGACAGACAAGCCCACTCTTGCTCTATTTCTTCAGGGATTAACACATAACTATTGTGGGGATGTTACAGCCTGATTACCACATTGACTCTGCTGTTCGTAGTAGATTGCTTACATATTTGATATTGTTTGGAAAATTAAAAAACCAAGGGGGGAAAATCCCAAAGCAACTGTCTTCATTCCTCTTCCTCTCCCTGCTGCTCCTCACAGGGCATTTCAGTGCCGTGTTTCCAAGGAAACTGCATACGGATGCTCTGCCAGTGGGGATGTTGTCAGAGGCTTGCCAGCACTCTAGGAACGGTTTAGAGTGATCCATAGGATGAACAAAGGAAGTAAAAGAGTAACAGCATAATTTAAGTGTGATATTGGAGAGAAAACAGGGAGCAGCAAGTCCCCTCCAAATATCCCTGATGGGGAAAAGTCAGGTTATGCTGCTGCTCTGATCTGAGTGTTGCACTTGTTATGCTGGCAGAATTTCAGAAGTGGTTTCAGACTGTTCTAAGTCACTTTCCAGCAAGAAAAAAAATAGGTCTGTACACTAGGAAATGCTTTTGAAACCCTAAACATAGTGAAAAAAATAAATTCAAAAAGTCAAAGCCAGAATCGTTCCCTTTGCTCTTCAGTTGGGCACAGTAAATTCACCATTTTATCACCATCCCAAAACATGC